GAGAGAGCAGTTCCTTTCTCCTGGCAAGGGTTAGGTCATCTTGGAGCATCTTTCAATTTCATAAGTAGGCCTACAGAGTAAAAGAAAAAACACCAGTAAACATCACCTTGGAAAAGATAAGATTTGATTCAGGAATATAATTTAAGTTTCACTGTGAAGAATTGCTGTCGTTTCCCAGATTTTCTATAGTATTGAGCATCAAACTGATCTCACCTACCTCAGGGTCCTTTCCTTGTGGCACTGGGATGCCAGCCCTCCATTACAGCTTTTTGTGCATTTGTAGAGCTAACATATTCATGGATTCCTTCAATCAACAGGCTGTACCCCCAGGGCAGGAGCTGTGGGCTCACATTCCCTGCCCTTGGCATTTGTTGGGCTGGAAGAAGCTGTGCTGGATGGAGCCGTATTGAACATCCATGTTGTCCTTGAAGGAACCTCGAGTACTGTGTCCAGTTTTGGGCCCCTCACTGCAAGAAAGATATTGAGGCCCTGGAACATGTTCAAAGAAGGGCAACAAAGCTGGTGAGGGGTCTGGAACACAGGCCATATGAGGAGAGGCTGAAGGAGCTGGGAATGTTCAGCCTGGAGAAGAGGAGGCTCAGGGGAGACCTTATTGCTCTCTATAACTTCCTGAAGGGAGGTTGTAGTGAGCTGGGGGTCGGCCTCTTCTCTCGTGTCATTAGTGATAGGACCAGGGGGAATGGTTTCAAGCTACGGCAGGGGAGATTCAGGCTGGACATGAGGAAGTATTACTTTTCAGAAAGGGTGGCCAGGCACTGGAATGGACTGCCCAGGGAGGTGGTGGAATCACTGAGCCTGGGGGTGTTCAAGGAAAGACTGGATGTTGTGTTGAGGGACATGGTTTAGTGGGAGCTATTGGGAATAGGTGAACGGTTGGACTGGGTGATCTTTTAGGTCTTTTCCAACCTTAGTGATTCTATGATTCTATGATTCTATGATTCTATGATTCTATGATTCTATGAAGTGAGCTGCAAAGAAAGAAATGCTCCAATGGCCTCAAGGATCATACAGGATAGCAGATGAACTCTCTCCAGCCATTCTGTGTCTTTCTCAAATTGGACCCCAGAACTGGAACCCAGTACTCCAGATGTGACCTCACTTAGGTAAGAGATACACTGTCCAGTAGTATTATGGAAATATTTTGAGAATAACACATTCCTCAACCCATGCCAAGCCACATGTGCTGGCAACTAGCTGCCTTTCTGAGCACAGCGCTACTTGACAAACTCTGCCACAGTCCAAACCAGGTACCAACACTGTTCCAGCTTTTCTGTCTGGTCGATGTGTCACAAATAAGCTTGGAAATCTTATCTGAGTATCTGGATCAAAGATTTGCCAGAGAAAGAAGTTTTCCCAATGTATTGGTTTCCCAGGATAAAGTTATCTATCTGTGCATCTGTCACCATTAAGACTAGCATTAGCAAGACTTTGTACACATAGAAGTATTTGTCTTTGTTCAGTATTGACATCATTTATTTCTCTGTTCTATTCCTTTTTCTCTGATGAAAAGGTGCATTTCTCATGTAGGATATTCTCATTTGAAGATACTTAAATTTGGGTGTCTCTTGTACTGTATGCTTGTCAAAATTCAAATTTGTGATGCTTCAAGCCATGATGAAATATTTTTGTGTTTTTCTCCTTCTCCATTGATGCTTCTTGTTGTAAATGTCTGACCTTGCCATTTCTTGCTTTTTATTTGGGCATATTTTAGATTGAGTTGCTGTTGTGAGTAGTGTATTTGATTTCTACACATCTTGAGAAACCGTTGGGATATTATATCTAGAACCTCTTCAGAGACTGAAGACAGAAGTCTGGTAGTTATAACTAGAAAGTTTCAGAAAGTCTAAATGCAAAATATATTAATTAAAAGCATTTTATGAACATCTATGAACAACAAATGCTTTCAAAGAAAATCATATCCACTTAGATTCTGGGTTAAGTTCCCAGCTGGCTTCACTGTAGCTTCCATGACTTCTGCTGGATATGGATCTGGCTCATTTTTTGTAATGAGAACTTCAAGTAGCTCTAGCTAAAACAAATGACAAAGCTTATGCTTCTTGGTGAAGTAATTCATTAATTAGTGTGTGGATATATGCACATTACCACACATATAACTTCTGAAAATATGAAGAACTTTGTCCTTGTATAAAGCCCTCTAGAGTCATTGCAAAAATTTGCATGGACTTCATTGGGTTATGGATCACATCCTGTATATATCTGCATTTTTAGACCTTTTCTAGTGCTTTCTCTTCCAATGGAAATTAATAGCTTCGTGGAATTGAAATGACCAGTTTCTGATTTAGTTTTGCATAAGAAGCAGAGTCCAGTAGGATTAAATATGAATGGTGGCTTGGTAATTCATTAATCATGAAAATATGATGTGCAGTTAGTTATATAAGTGGTTATTTTTGCATGGAAATGTCTGCTACTTTTATGTCTGTGCAGAATCACTTCAAGTGCCGAAGCAGGAACATACAAACCCACTCATTTCAATACGCTATTTTAGACACAATGCACAATGATACATAAATGCTCTGTAGACAACAGTGATTTTGTAGTTGTTAGCACAACAGTGCATCCAAGTATCCTACCTGCACATGATTATGCACTTTCCTGGTCAGAGGAAGCAGAGTATTTTCAAAGTTTCTATGAGACCTTTCCAAGCCATCTTGGCCACATGTGACCTATGCAAAATATTTTATTCTGAGAACTTTTGAAAATGTAAATATTACAGCTCCTTTTCTCTTAAAAGTCTGAGAAATCAGATAAGAAAGGTTGAGCTGGCTCCAAACAATGCTGAATTCTCTATCATCCAGAAACAGACTTCTGGGTCAGTGACAGGTAACAAGGACAAGGTTTGATGCGCCATTTGAAAATGGTGCACAGCAAGGAGCAAATCAACATAAGATGCAAGTCAAAGAACTGTTGAAACACTCACTTTCCATTTGAGCATGCTGTTGGAAGCTGAAATTCTGCACTGAACTTAGTAATTCAATATGCTTGGCAAATACAAGAGGTTGCCTCATTGGCACAGATCTCTTCTGTGTAAAAATGATGGAAATGCCAATTCCACCTTTGTCTCCTTCCAGTGTCCTTGCGTCACTAGCACCCTGTTGTCTTTCCCAGGTAAAAGGATAGTCCCAGGCTCAATTCACTGTACTTCCGCTGTCATGGCCAGGGCCCTGCCAGGTACTTGCTCTTGTTAAAAAAAAAAAGCAAAGAAAAAAAAAAGCCTCATGAATGCTCTGTTTTCTTGTCATCACTGTTACTTTCTTGAAATGCATTAGCACGCGATTTTTCATTTCAAGGCAAGATGTAGAGGCACAGAAGTTTCAGGATCTGGCTCCCATTGAAGTCTACTTCTCTGAGAAAGCTGTTTCTGAAAAAGAATGCCTATATGGGAAATTGATATAGCCATGATTTTTTATTTATTTATTTCTTACAACACAAAAAAACAGATAGAAAGTAAATATTTAAAGTTACTGTAGCCATTTCAAAAGTGCATAAAGGTATTTGTGGCTGTAAAGTCCTTGTGAACATTTTTCACTAATACTTACAAATATTTCAAACTAAAAAGATGAATTATCAAATACTTGTGCCTTTCATTTTACCTATGCTTTGTTCAGCAGATCACAAAACACAGACCTACATGATATATCTCCTTGAAGAGCCAAATAGCAGCAAGAGAATGAGCAAAAGCTGCACATAACAGGTGGAGAAACAGGAGAATGGAAAGATGAAGGGAATCAAGTACAAGGTCTCATGATTACTTAATTGCTATGCCCACACCTTGTTCCATAATGCATACAAGATTTCAGCCACCCAATCTACTGAAATCTCTCTCAGGACATGTCAGACTTTAACTAAGCATCCTCCTCTCATCCTGCTGGGTTATTCATTCCCCTTGGCTTTTTGCCATCTTCTGTTATGCATTATCCCATCAATTTTGGTCCTCACATTACATATGAGACTTAACATACTACTTACTGCTGCTTATGTCGGTTACTTAACACAAGGAGATTCCCAAGCTTCCCAGCTGTTCTCATCCCCCATCTTAACTGTACTACCTATGGTATTTGGCAATGTTCTGTCAGCCAACCCTCTTGGCCATTCAACTCTGCTAACTCAATGTAGCGTGCGAGGGACATTGTAGGAGAAAGAAAGGCAGGTTTAGCATCTAAGAGCACCCAAGTAAATCTAAAGACTGAAATGATCCATCCCAAAGGGAACCTAATCATTATTACTGGTCGAACACCATGCTATCCTGTGATAGAAGGAAGATCTTTGATAAGTTACTCCGTCTCCTCACGCCAATCTACTGCTAGAGGAGGGTAAATATTCAAAGATTGTGTACCAAAATAACTCTCTTAGCATTTAGAAGAGGCTGTGGTAGCATCTGCTGTGAGAAAGAGTAAGGTTATGTGGTATTCCATTCCTACCTGCTAGGATGACATTAGGACCAAATATTTAAATACACCATCTCTGTTCCCAGGCTATGGAGCCAAAAATGGTGTGATCAAAGCAGATTCCTTGCTTCCACATACTGTTTCATGTGGGTTTTTTTGTTGTACTGGGACATCCTGCAGGGCTCGGACACACAGGACTCTTACCCAGGCAGAAGCCCAGCGGCTGAACAGGGAGATCCTCTGCACCTCATGAGCACTCTACCACGGTGAGGGGCCCATAACAACTTCTTTCTCTGCTCGGGGGCCCCAAACGAGTACCCCTCACCTCGCACTGAGAGGCAGCTGCCCGGGGGCAGGGATGATTGGCGAGAACTCGGGGCCCCTGCCGCCGGCGGGAGAACTCCGGCTACCCCCGCCCAGGGCGGGAGGCAGCGCCGAGGCCCACGGAGAGGGAGGGGAGCGCTGGGGGGGGAGTGGCCGTGCCGGGCCAGCCCCATAAATAGCCCTCGGCGGGGCGGCGGCGGGAGGAGCCCTCGGAGTCGTCGCCGCCGCAGCCGCCGCCGCCGTCGCCGCTCCGGCAGCGGGCACAGTCAGCACCGCGGACAGCGCCCCCACTGAGCCCCTCCGCACCCCCACCATGACGGCGGAGGCGCACCTGCAGGGCGTGGAGATCTCGGCCGCCCAGTTCTTCGAGATCTGGCACCACTACGACTCCGACGGTGACTCCTTTCCCCTTCCCGGGTTGGCGGGGGGCGGCCGGCGGGGGGTGTGCGAGGGGGAGGCTGGGGGTCCCACCATTCCCTGGCCGCCATCCCGCAGCTGGCACGACCGCACGGCTGGGGTTGAGGTCGGGCGAGGAGTGCGGGAGCAGCTCCGCAGGGAGAACGCGGGCTAGAGACATCCCTGGCAGCGCTGAAGAGCGGAGAGAGTTTGGAGGGAGCGGTGACCACAAGCGTAACTCTTTTTGTTGTAGGCAATGGGTACATGGATGGGAAGGAGCTACAAAACTTCATCCAGGAGCTGCAGCAGGCGCGGAAGAAGGCAGGCTTGGTAGGTTAACCTTTTGCCCCACTTTTTCCATCCCCTCTGGGAAAGAAGAGTTTTCTTGAGCAAACCCCAGTGCCTTTGTTCCTTCTGTTCCTTGTTGCTTTCACACAGTTCATCCAGTAGCCTCACGAGGCAGAGAAGTAGATGGGTTAGAAATAAGCAGGTTTTAAATGAAACATGCCCTCTGATTTGGAAGGGTGGTGTCAGGGGTGTCCATTCAGCTGGAGAGCAGGTCTTGTTCACATCTCACCAGTCTGTGAGCTGGTACTTCTCAAAGGGCTTAACAAGAAAAGTCAGAAATGCATGGACATTATCCTTTTGTCATGGGTGGACTTTGTCGTGTTGCAACCTGATCCAGATATGCACTGATACTTAAAAAAATAAATAAATTTATTTTAAAAAGAGAGAGAAAATAGAAAAGAAAACCCAACTCTTCAAGTTAGTTGGGCTCTTTTAATATCATGCTTAATGGACAGTATGGGCTGAAATGCATTCCTGCCCCTTGGTGGTCAGTAAATAGATCTGCAGATGACTGCTAAACACTTTTTGCCCTTTGCCAATGTTGCACACCAGGAATATGAGTACCAAAGCCTGGTAGTTCAGATTCCTAGCAGAGACATCAACGTTTTTGATGCTGTTGTCAAATGCCAGCTATTAATTTTTTAATTACAAATTTCCTCCAAATTATTCCCACTTGGGGAAAAAAAAGAAAAAAAAAAGAGAGAGTGGAGAGAAGGACAGAGGGAGAAAGAGAGAGGAACGGTTCCATGAAAAGATCTGAATTTAAATAGCAATGAATCTTTTTAACAAATAAATTATGGGTCATCAGTTTCTAAAACAGGCTACTTAGCACCATGTTCAAATATATAACATTACCAAGTCTACTGAAGTCAATCTATGCTAAAACACTTTCAAAGTAACAGAAAGGAAAAAAAAATAGCCAATTAGCATGTGTGCTTTGTGGAAATAAGTTATTACTTAACATTAAAAACAAAACAAAACAAACTCTGAACTGAGCAATAACCTTTCTATAACTTACTTTAATATTGCTGTAGATTTTAGAAGCAAATTAAAAAAAAAAAGAAAAAAAAAACAACAATCATACTCTTAAATTTTGTGGAAAATCTTCTTGTGGTTAGCTTCTTAGTAATTCTATGAGTGCAGACTTCACACACTTGAAAATCTGTCTCCCAGCAATGCCTCATTTTTAAGTCTTAGTATCAGTCAATTCTTATAGCAATTGCTGTAGACATTCATTTTCATGAGTGTTAATAAGAACAAACTAAAATTTCAAAAAGCCTCAAAAACCCATACAGAAAATTGGTTTTCAGAGGGAATAGGTGGTTTTGTTCTTTCTTTTTTTGCACAGAAAAAACTAAGTACAACTTCTGTGCCTGTCAGATATTATAACAGAAAATATCTCTTTTCTGTAGAGAAGTGAAGGAAACTCCTGTTTGTTTGTTAGAAAGAAGATACTAAAGCCTGTTTATATTTAGTATCAATGACATTGTCAGTAGAAGTGCTGACGATATTTAGGAATTTGAAAAATGAATTAGAAGCTTGAAGGAAAAACGCTAGTTACTTCAAAATCAGAATCTTTTCTCTCTCAAAAGAAGTGTGCATCTCTTAAAAATAGAGCTTGCTCAAAGTAACACAGAAGAACTTTGCAGAACTGTTCTTATCTGCTACACTTCATCATTCATTCTATTTTTTGAGTAACCTTTCCTTGTATCTCACACTCTGTTTTGAAAACACTCAGGAGCTTAATTAAGCTTTCTTTTGCCATTTCTCTGAATCAAGCCTGGTTTTGGGGTGTTCTTTTGAGAAGAGCAATTCACGGTAGCAACATCAAATTTGGTACATGGTTTATTGACTCTGCCTTTGGTAGATGTTATCTTGACCTCTGAATTTTTTTTCTGGATTATGGATGTATATGTCATTTCAGCTGTCAAATCTAAGCTGATTCTTGGATTTGAAGGTTCATTTCTTTACAAGGAGAGTGGTTTTCTTTACAAGGAGAGTGGTTAGGCCCTGGAACGGGCTGCCCAGGGAGGTTGTGGATGCCCCGTCCTTGGACGTGTTTAAGGCCAGGTTGGACGGGGTCCTGGGCAGCCTGATCTAAATGTGTATGTTTGGTGGCCCTGCTAGGCAGGGGGGTTGGAACTACATGATCCTTGAGGTCCCTTCCAACCCGGGTGATTCTGTGATTCTGTGATTCTGTGATTCTGTTCATTTGCCAAACAAGCATCTCATTAGTTCAAGTCTTGTCTCGTGGGATGCTAATTCAGTAGCTTTAAATTTCTTTTCTTTTGCCAGAAGGGACACATTGAGAAACTAGTGTAAGTTATATGTCATTTCCTCATCTGTCCTTCCCTTAACATGCCAAAGCTTCCTTGTCATCATTAACTTTTGCATTTCAAGTCACTTTCCTGCTCACTATTTTTGAAATATTCAATTATGCATTCTTCATAGCTGGATTTTACATCAGTCATGCCGTATGCATTAAAGAATCACATTGATTCTGTCACTGAATAGGATGGTTTAAGATTTCTAAGTATTATTCCCAGCTACAGAGAGCTGTTCTAATTATGTTCTAATTCTAATCTTTTTATTAATCCACACAATAAGCCTGTACTACTTTCACAGTTGCTTTTCCTAAGATGGAGCAATAGCATGCAGCTTGGTTGCTGTTAGCCCCATTGCTGGAACTGCCAGTGCTCCATAGGATAGACGTGTACTGGGTTTAAGGGCCTGGGCTTTTCTCTGGTCACACTATGTGTTTTCACTTCATGCATTGTGATAGATAGTGATTTGATCTGGCATACTTTCAGACATTATGAAAGAACTGACAGTTTTTTAAAGATAAAAACTGTATAAATGTATAGACAGAGCTTCCATTTGCTGTGCCCTACTTTTTATGCAATACGTTCTCTAAGTGTGCAAGTTACGAGAAGAACCTGTGGAGTGTAAATGAGTGACACAGAGGTCAGTAGAGTGGATCTTGGAAAGTTACTCCACATTTGTTAACTCACTTGCTCTGCATATACAGATGAGGAAAGTATTTCTCAATATTCCAATATTAATTCCAATATTTAATAGATGTTTATCAATGCAGTCATGTAAGCGCTTCTGTAGTGCCATCTATCCTTACATTTCAAAAATCATCCCAAAACAGAGCTGTTTTTTCTACAACTCCTCTTGGTTGAGTAAGTGACTCTTAAGCTTTAGGAGGGGAGATGAAGGTGCGAAGTTTCTTAATTTCAAGCATTAAGCAACTACACTTGATAAAGTTTAAACAAGTTTTTTGACTGAACATGTGTTTGAATAACATGACTTGTCAGCTACCTCAGAAGCAGCTGAAGTGAGCACCAAGAAAAAGAAAAAAGACTCTTTCTGGACTATGTACTAGGATGAGCATCCTGTTTCATGTAGCCTCTAAGCAGCTATGTCTCCTTTAGTGGCTGACCACTGTTTGGCACTGTGGAGGTGATACTAGAAGAATTAGCAAAATATTTAACAAGGACTAATTAAAATCCAGGTGTCTAAATTCTCCATTCCAACTGCTAAACAAATCTGTGCCCACTTTGGGATCATTAGATGAGAGGTGACATTGAACTGCACTGTATTAATAACTACATCTCTAATTAAAGCTGTGGCAAATTACTAACCTGCCATGGATGACTTTGACATAAATAGGATACTAGGCCACGATTGTATCATCTATAAAGAACTGACATTTAAGTTAACATTTGAAGTTGAAATTTGGGACAAACTTCAACAGACTTTGTACAGCTGATAGTTCCCATGTCTCCAGTGAGAAATTCACCTAGGTCCTGTATAATCAGTACTATTATAGCAACTAAAACTTTAATTTCTAATGACAGCTATATCTTCATCTATAAGCATAGAATTTTCCATTAGTTTAATATAGCTGTAGTCCTGATTCTTGCTGCATGGTTTTACTGTCTCGGTCTGATAAGAAATAGAAGGAGAAATAGAAGTTTAATCAGTAATGAAAGTTGATGGCAGCTCATAGCAAGGCAAAGCAAGTCCAGTTGAAGTGTTAAATCAGGTATATAAATATTCATCCTGAGGCTGGCACCTTTGCTGTAACTTAGGCTGAAGATAGTATTTGAGTACAAATGTATAGTAAGAGACATAATTTATACAAGAAACAATTATGCTGGCTTTGTTATGTCAGATTTAAGGTGCTGCTCAAAGCGTCTCTCTCCCAAGCCTTCTTTCTCTAAATTACAGCAGTGACATTTGGATTCTGTTTTCGTGATAACTATATACTTAACAGTGAGAAATATGATATTATGGTTAGTTCTTTTAGAGCTAAAATAGTATCCATTGTTCAGGTAAAACCAGCTCACAGATGAGGAAAGGCCATATTGGTATGCAGAGGTATTGTACTGAAATGTTTCTTATTTTGAAGGATTTTGCGCTGCCTTCAATTTAGTCATTTAATAATGAAAACTGAGAAAACAGATTAAGAATGAACTTCACTGTCATTCTCTTCAAACAGAAGAGCTGTTATATGTATCTTCCAACACATCTGTCTTCTCAGTTTCTTTATTCTGTAAACTAAAATAGGAGTTCTAAAAATTTAGAGACCAATCACTCACGTTGACTATAATATCACCCCTTAGGAAATACAACTTATCACAGTGATGTTATCTGTCCTAAAAAAATTACTCATTTTCACTTCAACTTGAGAAATCTAGCTATAATTAAGTGTGAATATTTAATCAAATGTAGTAAATTTATTGACAACTGATGGAATATTTAAGTACTTTGCATACATTTCTCTGCATCTGAAAAATATTGATTCTTTCATTATAACTTTACAGGACTTAACACCTGAAATGAAAGCATTCGTGGACCAGTATGGCAAGGCTACTGATGGAAAAATAGGAATTGTTGAGGTAAGATAGTTACCATAAAATAAATGACTAACACATTTACTTATAGAAAATACACTTAGCACAGAACAGTATGGGCATATTTGTAAATAGTTTGGATTTTTACTAAAACAGAAAATTTCTTTCTCTGAGAATCTTTAGTGTTTTTTTCACTAATCACTTTTCCTTACTCAAAAGCAAAATATTCCTTAGCCTTTGCCAGATATTTCACTACACTTCATTTAACTTTGCATACTTGATTCAGTATAAATAAGCATCAACACAATGCAGTTTTCCTGTAAAGCAGCTAAAAGCTCTATTTTAGAAATTTAAATTGTGAAAGGTAAATATGATTTATCTCTACATATGATTTTGAACTAACACTCCATCACCACTCCTGTAGTAAGGTAACTTGCAAGTGAATGTAATTGGGCAGTTGCTATAGGTAGTCAATGCACGTATATGGCAAAATAGGATGTTAATCATGGCAAACTTAAGCAGAATTTTAAGAGTAGTTGTAATCCAGCCTTTTCTTTAACCAAACCTGAGGCAGAATATTTCCATTCCTTTCTACCACTTTCTAAAGAGGACAAAGGTGCAGTCAGCCAATCTTTTCTACACTTGCAGACTCTCAACAATTGTATAATTTAGATGACTTTCTGGGAAGTAGGGAACCATTGTATTTTCTCATGCTTTCATTGTTCAGTGCTGCAAATCAGAAAGGAGAGTTCATTGGGTTACAGCTTGAGAAACCACTATTTCAAGCCTAAATCTACAACTCATTTATGTCACACTGAGTGCAGTAAAGACTGCAGTTTTATTATTAAATATGATTATTATTTTTTTCTGATAGTGTGAAATATGATCTAAGATAGCTAATTAAGAAACAGCTGAAAGCAAGCCAGGTCTGCAAAATTTCTACAGTGACCAACCCTGGGTCAGTAGCTATTTTTAAAATAGAAGACTGATTAGAGTCTGTAAAACTCAGTAGGATGTATCACTAGTGATATAATACATCATTTGAAGATATTTTTCCTCCTCAGTCATATATTTGAATTGAAAATACTTATGTATATGAAAACCTAGCTATGACTAAATTATGGAAACACAGTTTCTTTTACTTGCAGCTATAAGCAATTTTAAAATACATCTTTTGACAATACTTAGCATTACAAATTATTTTTGTGCTAACAACTGCTTATTCATTTATTATTGAATAATCCCACTTAATTCAGTACTTTTGAATTGTGTAATAGCAAGCATTATGCAAGAAGAATAAGTAGACAGTGCCTGCAGTGACTGTTGTTCTTTACTTAGGGAAGATAAAGGAGAGTTTTGCCTTTCAAGTTCTATTTCTGATTGTACTATTGACTTAATGCGTAAAGGTGAGCAAATCCCACAGGGCCTAATATGGTAAGGTGCTTACCACCTCCAGTGAGCTGCCAAGCATACTCAGCATCCACTGAAGCCACTGAATAATGACAGCACTCAGTCCAGTGACTGAAGGGACTCTCCCTTAATATAGCAGTTTCCTAACCCAAGATCTATATTTTATTTCACTGACATCAGCACGAAGCTTGATTTGGAAAGTGCTGATGGGACTCAGCCTAAGTTTTACAAGCAGTATGATTTTAAAGTTGGTATTTGAACTTGATTCTCCTTCCTTATAAATAAGAATGCCCAGTAATTCCAGATTGCTCCCAATTTACATAATACAGCAAACAGTTTTTTTTCTGAAATAAAGAAGTATGAATGTTGTTTAAAAAAATTTATATGTGAATGCATTTGGATTCCCAGCCATCAGACCAGATACCCCAGCAGCTGAAGGAAAATGTCTTTCACATAATGAGTTTTGTGGGCTGAGATAAAGAGGAGACCTGGGTGGCTTCATAGAGGAAGGAGTGGATTTTCAGTTTGGTGCTCAGATTAAATGTCAGCTTTGTCTTTGGAAGCACATTACACTTAGTCCTCTAGATTTTAGCCAACATTCACAAGCTAAATGCAGAGCCAGACCTCTATACTTGCTTATCATTTTGTAAGAGCCCTTTCTTTCACTTTTTGTGTTCATTCAGGCTAATGCTTGGACTAAAATGTAGATGTGGAACATGGATTTTTGAGACTCATGACAGTAGTAATTCCACATTCACATCCTTTGACAATTGCTTCTGCCATAAAAATAACTACTGACTACTATAAACGATTTTTACTCCCATTCTCCATTATAGGATTTTGAGAAGAAAATTCGCTGAATTATACAAAAGGAATCTTAATTACCGACATTTATTTAAAGAATGATTTCTAGAAAATAGTTCTTATATTGTCTTAATAACTGAGAGTATTTTTTCCTGCTAGGTAGCGTATAAAGATCTACCTCAGTCTGCAGCTGAGTAGGGAGAGTTAAGTCGAGCCTGGGCTTTGATGTTGTCCTCACTTACTCATGAAAGCAGTAGGGTGCACAGAAGCACTAAGTTGCTATTGCTATTTGTGCCTCATACACAGTTTGGTACTGCTAGTAAGCTGTTCATGATTCTTTGGAAAGGTCCCATTGTGATAAGCAATCTCTTCCCCAGACTGTTTTTTTTTATCAATTCTTCCATTCAGTGTTTGCTGTTGAGCAGCACAGCTGATCTACTCCAAAAGTCAGAGCTTCCTCTCATGGGAGAAATAAGGAAAATTTTCCATAAACTGGTACTAAATTCCACACATTTAGCTGCTACACCTATATGAATGCATACTTATCCACACATTATTTGCTATTTATAAGGGAGTAGATTTCAAAAGCTGCTGACAAAAACACATTGTTTAAGTTGATTAGGTTTTCAATTCAGCCATTTAGCAAAAACACTCAAAACACTGATGCTTGGCAGTCTGTAATCAGTGGCTCTGTTCTGTAAGAAGAGTACTTTGACTTGTGTTTTCAGTTGTACAAGCACTTGATGAATATGACTGACTTCTTGAGCAGATAATTTTAGAGAAACTATGTTGTGCCTATGCAGTGACAGGGAGAGCTGAAGTCACCTACAGCACCATGGGAACCCCCAAAAAAACCTGAGCAGTTGGGTGATAGCACTAAATAAGGCAATAGCAAAGCAAGAAATCTGAGCACGTGAAATGAATGAAGCAAAAATGCGAATACAAATTTTAAGAGGGAGATACAGGAAGTCTGCAGATGTCATTTTTCATAAATAATGCAGCTAAGATATCTTTCTTTCCCTGTTTTCTCTTCCTAGTAAGCACAGCTGGTCTATTCTTCAAGTTAAAAGTTTTCTCTAATCAAAAAATATTTCATACATTTTAAGAACAGAAAAAGAAATATTGGGCTTTTGTTAAAAACAAATCATGATTTTACTTTAAATTATATAGCATACTCTCCATCTTCTACATTTGTCACTTGTCAAAATTGAGTTATAGTAAATGAACATTTTCAAAAAATCAGTACAATAATGTCTGATTTTAAAAAAGCCTTTTGTAACGCAGACATTGGAAAAAAACACCACCCCTGATTCTGTAGGGCTAAAAGTAGTTTTGATTTCCTTCTGATAGTTATAGCTCTTCTTGAACATGTTTCTGTATCTGACAAATGACAGCTAGTTGCCATTTCCTTGCCCTACCAACCTTTGTATACTCTCTTTTTTTTTTTTTTTCTGGTTTATTTTTCTCCTTTCCTTACACACATGTTCTTGCCTCTTCTTCCTCATATTCGGTATCTATTAGTGATTTTTCTTCCTCATTTTCTTAATTTTCATGGTCCTTCAAACTCATCCATTAAATATCTTTGTTTCATGCTTTCCCTTTCTCACTGATTGTGAGGTTTACCACAGATCCTGACTTTGAATAGGTCAATTTTTTCCTTTTTCCTTCAGTAAACTGCTGTTTCATTGCCTTACCTCAGTCCTCACTTCTGTTTGACTTGGATGAATATGGAAAAGCTGCAAGCCAGAAGCCTTTCAGAGGCATCATCCTGATGTTTGGGCTTATGGGATGAAGGTTCTTGTGAGGGTATACTAAGACAGTAGGACCATGCAGAATTTCACACGCTTTTAAAAGTGCCATACTCATTCAAAAGCTCATCTGGCCTAATGGAAAATCAGAACTTAATTTAATTTTTTAAAATCTGTCACAGCTTGCTCAGGTGTTGCCGACGGAGGAGAATTTCCTGTTGTTCTTTAGGTGCCAGCAGCTAAAGTCGAGTGAAGATTTCATGCAGGTACACTGTGAAATTTTTCCTTCTGTAAAGTCATCCGAGACCTGATTGCCATAAATTCATTATCAAATCATCTGATTGCAGACATGGAGAAAATATGACAGTGACCACAGTGGCTTCATTGATTCTGAGGAACTTAAGGTAAGCCGATACTAATGAGTGTGCACAAAATGAGATTCGAGATTGGATTATGGACACTGGATCTGTTTGTTCGTACTCACTGGTGCATATTTTTGCATTTCAGACACGACTGAAAGCAATATGATTAGATGGTGTTTTTATCACCAGTAAATCATTTAAAGTGCATCTCTAATCTGATAAATGTTTCTAAAAATGTGGTTTAACTCAGATGAATATTTGTCTCGAGCGACTTGAGATGGCTGATGCTCTCACTGAGAAGTAGGAAAGATTATTTCTGCCCTGGGAAACCAGACAGTCCTGTGTAAGACACACTGTTCTTCTCAGAGGCTGTTTAGGGTAGAGGCTGATTTTGTGATGTTGTTTGTTTTGTGTGTGTTTTTGTTTTCCTATGGGCATAATTACTATTAATCATTATCCTACTGGGCTGCTTGTGCTCTCTCAAGTATCATCAACTTGTTCAGTTTCCACTGCACTACTGTTAACACAGCTGGAATTGTCTTGCCCATGCTCAGCTAACTTGGTGGGAGGTATCTATCAGTTTTAAAATGCATAAAAAGGGCAGAATCATTCCACTAATCATCTCAGTCTTAGAGAATTAACAAAACTTGAAACTAGAATGATTTACTCTTGTCATAAAACTAACATAAATTTGTAGGTGCTGAATCATTGTTGCAGGATCACAGAATGGCTGAAGCTGGCAGGGCTGTCTGGGTCCATCTGGCCCACCCGTGCTCCAGCAGAGACACCCAGAGCAGGGGGCCCAGGCCCATGGCCAGGTGGCTTCTGAAGGTGTCCAGGGAGGATTACCCACAGCCTCTGGGCAACCTGTGCCAGTGCTCCAGCACCGCCCAGCACAGAAGTTCTACCTGCTGCCCAGAGGGACCTCCTGTGCTCCAATTTGTGCCCATTGCCTCTTGTCCTCTTTGCACCTTTCCTTCACATATTTATAGACACTGATGAAATTCCCCTGTGTCTCCTCTTCTTCAGGCTGAATAATTTGAGCTCTCTCAGCCTTTCCCCATTGGAGAGCTGCCATATACAGCAGACTGAGTAGAAAGGAGCTTTTTTCCACCTTTCGGTTGCTGCAGATTATATTCAGAGAAGTCAAAACCTTTCGTAGTAAGAGACTTAGCAGTGTCTATCCATCTAGTTTGGACTATTTTTTTCAATTTATTCCTTTTCCTTTTCCCTTCTTTGAATTTTGTACGTGTATGGCACTTACCAAGGAATCCTCCTCAATGTAGCCCGCAGACAGACAAGCCCATTCTTCTGCTGCCTGCTCACAGCACATTTATGTATCAGAAATTGTCACAAGCAGGAGGAGGCCAAACATGCAGCTGTTGATTACTCTCCAGTTGTTATACAGTTCTTTAAAGACTGTTGCCAGCTGCTATAATTTAAAATAGACTTTAAAAAGGCAGGGCTAATTTAGGAATAGTTGAAGAACTAAGAAATTTTAACTGAACCCCTAACGGTCCTATCTCTCAAGTGCTATGAGATCTCAGAGAAACAAGTCTCTGAAAATAAGACATAAATGTGAAATTTTAATTTTAGGAATAATTGATATTTTTTGCCATGCCCAAACATTTTGAATATTTGCTGTGTAAGGAATACACCTACTTAATTACTTTCAGCGAGCAATTTAGGTTGGAAATGAGCAAAACTTTCCATCAACAATTCTGGCAGTGGAATATGTTGTCTCAGGAGGAGTCAGACTCTCCATCACTGCATATTTGGAAATGGTTTGGTAACAGCTCAGATCAGACAGTGACAAAGGAAAGTTTAAGGGTAAATGATCTTGTCACAAGACATTCTGATGGACAGGTTAGCCCTATTTTCCATGAGAGCACATAAGATTAAACATATTTCTGTAGTAATGTACAAAGAGTACAGCTGAAATTTTGTAACAGTCTTGTAACAGAAATTTCAACCTCTGCATGGGTAGAATCGGTAGTATTTTTGTTAAGTAAAAATGGCTGTCATTCAAAATATCTGATTAGAAAGCCACAGGATGCTGCATCCAATTCTCATTAAAAAAAAACAACAAAAACTAGTGAAATTGGCCACACAGATTTAAAGTATGAGGCGAGAGGGAGTGACAAAGGTTAACATGTTCACTTCTAGCATCAGTTACTGCCATAGGCAAGGAGGAAAATGATTAATCATTGATCTTTTCTCTAAAATTGTTCCTGTGTTGGCATCCAAGTTTTCCAAGGAGTCTCAAGGTTAATTGGTTTAATTTACTGATAGAACTGATTATGAAGAGGTATGTCAAGCCATTTCTTCCAAATTCACATTACAACAAATGTCATACAATGTACAGCACTTTATGAAACTGTGTAGTATAGTTGAAATGATCATAAAGAAACTGTTACAGACATAACTGTTAATTGCTATGCCTTTTCTTACTTATTTTGAACTGCAACAATAAAAATTAAATTGGAAGTAGTATTTCCCATTACTTTAATTTGAAGTCAGCAAGTCAAGCATTTTATACCATAGATAAAAATTCACCTGTTACACTCTCTTTATTTCAACAGAGTTTCTTGAAAGATTTATTACAGAAAGCAAATAAGCAGATTGAAGACTCAAAGCTAACAGAATATACAGAAATAATGGTAAGAATCTATAAAGGCATATTTTGTCAAAACTGTGTTTAGCTTCAGCTGCTAGAAGGTTCCAAATTACTTGGGCCCCACTAAGTCATAATCAGGACAAATGAGGCTGCTGTGTCATTGCAGCGCTGAGATGACATCAAGCACTGCAAGTACCCCAGTAGCTGTGTAGTTTAGCTGTGTAGTTTTCAGAGCTGCTACAAAAAATGATCAGGAATTTTGAACCTTCATGGTGCTTATTAAACAGTAGATCCTGTCATAGTGTGGTGCAAAGAATGTTTTACTTCCCCATTCCGTTAGGGGTAAAATCAAAGTTAGGGATAAAATCAAAGACTTCAGAGTTCAAAGGAGAAAAACTCTGCTTGTCATAATTACATTATCATACTTTGATCAAATCAATTTGAGACTACTCTGTATATTTTCCCTGTTTGCAGTGTTTGTCTCTTGTCCTAAAAGCCATCAGTGCATGATGAATTCTTAATAGATTTACAAGCACCACACTCTTCTCACTTCCTGTGTGTAATTATAAAAGAATAATATTCTTAATATGCACTATAACCAAACTGTCATTTCTCTGGCCTTAAATCAACTATTTCCTTCGAGCATTCCTTCTATCCACCACTACTGTGCTACGTGGTATAGACCACTACTGGCATCTGAATGGAAATTTCAAGATGAAAAAGACTCAGAACTCTTGTTTTCATGAAATTTCTAACACTTTGGTACTTTGGTTTTCCTACTTTGGTTTCATCCCAAAATATTTTTAGCCATCAAAAACATGCTAGGTTTTTGATGCAAGCACTCGAAGTGGCCTGAAGTCAGAACGGTTGATCAAAACTTGTTTCTTTCCTGACAGAAGTCTGCTGGTTTGCTGTACAAGCCATTTACCTAAATCTACATTTAGCAATTGTCACTGTTTATTCCCCAGTGAAGATAAAACATATATCCTATTCATTTAGTTTTGGATCTTCGTATTAAAGTGCCTCTGCAGAGAGACACATTGACAAAGAATTAAGAGCAATAAGAAGGAACTAAAGCCAACACTTCCATAATCTCCCCAGAAACTCAGAACTATGACTGATGGAAAACACACAGCATCTAGAACCTGCAGGCAGGCACAGTTACTAACAACCTGTTAAAACAATTGACTTTACAGCTCCCACTGCTTACCTCCTCTAAATATAACTCCTTCATGTGAAATGCACACAAAGCAGATGCTTTTACACAAGGAAGGGAGGTGTTAGAAGGAGCTAGGGTGTTATACAGAAATGTTTATAGAATTGGTCTCTTTTCTGTTCTCCATTGCCATTCGCTGTATCTTAGAAAAATGAAAATGAGTCTTCTTTCATGGCATTTGAAAGGATGTTCACTTACCTTGATACGCAGCTCAACTTTTCCTCTTAGCTAAAAATTACATCTGGAATTACTGTGATTGAAAGTGATGGGATGAGTGTGGGTGGTGGTATTTGTTTTCAGTACAATGCCTAAAAATGCTTTGTACAGTTTGCTGCTTTTGTGTCTCTTATACAGCAAAGGCAAAATACTATTTGAAAGTAGAAAAACTATATAGACAGAAAAAATGGGAGAGGAAGTTCCATGCAGGGATAATATCTCCAGCTACTTCTAATAACAAATATATGCAGCAGGAGCTCATCTTTTCAAGGGCTAAATGGAAAGCACTCTCAAGCAATATGATGATTAAGAGTGATTAGAAGTAGTATTTGCCTATTTTGTCAAATTTTATATATTTTTATTCCTACAATTTGATTAGAATTATTTGCAGACACTTGATTTCCCATTTTTATACTACCAATAAAATGTCTACTGCACCTCTTCAGTCTTTTCTTGAAATATATCACAGAAAAAGAATGCAATCTTTACATATTTAAGCCCATCAGCCAATTGAATGAAATGTCTATAATTTCCTAAGAAATTGAATGTCTGGAATTCTGTTGAACTTTACCTGACTATTGTTCCAGCTCTATGAAGGGAGAATAATGATGCTATTATTATATGACATGAAGTAAAAAGTAAAATGTTATCATGTCAACATTTCTATCTTATAAATAATTCACGCACATTTCTTATATGGGACATTCATCACTCTAGGCAGGTTAAGACCTACCTTGGAGTAGGTTAATCAAAACTGTTCATCTGGTTCCTTATCAGGCTTTTGCAGTACAATTAATTACTATAAATTATTTCTTCCGCACATTAAAGACATGTATTACATGGTAAATGAGACAGTTAAAACCTGGGGCCATCACTTCAGTGTTAAACAAAGGCTAAATTTCATTAAGTTTGTTTTCCAAATAAGTGTTTTCTTTACTATGTTAATTAATTGCAATTAGTAATGTAAAAAACATGTACTCTTTCAGCTCAGGATGTTTGATGCAAACAATGATGGAAAGTTGGAGCTTACTGAACTAGCCAGGTATGCCTCCTGTCTCCTTTCAGAACAAATATTATATACTAATTACAGTAAATATGTTGACCTTTGTTTTTTATGTCCAAAGGCTACTCCCAGTACAGGAAAATTTTCTTATTAAATTTCAGGTAAGAATTCATTGTCTTATGGTTAAACTGTTAATATTACACATATTTAGTGTCATAAATGGATTTTTTTTTTCTTTTTGGTGTTTAGGGTGTCAAAATGTGTGCAAAAGAGTTCAATAAAGCCTTTGAGATGTATGATCAAGTAAGTCTTTAGAAAGCCTTTTTATTAATTGATTAGTTTAATGGCACTTGTTTTCAGAATTTGGGGAAAACCTCCTCTGAAAAGAAGAATAAATGCTTGATGTTCTCTTTAATGCTATTTTTCAGGATGGCAATGGATATATAGATGAAAATGAACTTGATGCACTACTGAAGGATCTCTGTGAAAAGAACAAAAAGGTAATCCCAGAGGGCTTTTTTCCCCTTAGAGATTAGATTTAATTTGGATTTTAAGGACACTTTAATCCACCCAATTAAGATAAATATAGAACTTCTAAGTCATAATTCCTGAAGTCAAGGCAAAACTAAAAATCTTGGCAGAAGTCATAGCAGTGTAAAGCCTTAAATTGTGATTACACAGCAACACTGTCAAAAGCTTGCTTATTAGGCATCAGCTAGCAGCAGTCTAACATATGCCTATAACATGGATCATGTAAATATACAACAACATTTTCAATGTGTTACTGTTAGAAAGGCTGAGAACATCTTTTATTTTTTTTTTCCCTCCTTATTTTCTGCTATTGGCAGCAAACTTGTTCATGCTGGTAACTAAACAGGATTATAAAGCATTATCTGTTCTTTAAATAGGAATTAGACATTAACAACCTTGCGACATACAAGAAAAGCATCATGGCCTTGTCTGATGGAGGAAAGCTTTACCGAGCAGAACTGGCTCTCATTCTTTGTGCTGAGGAAAATTAAAACTCTTCTCTCATGTCCACTTAACTAGTGATGTATTCTATCTACACGATAACTGTGCACTATAAGGGAGTAGGCTGTATTTTTAAACTGCATATAGAAAATTAACCAGGATGTGTGGCACATTCCTTTAAGTTTGTTTCTATAGTGTTTGTAATGTACAGTTTTTGTAACAATAAGATTGATAAAGAGAATGTCTATGTTTGGGCCAGTCTGTATATTCAAAAGAAACTAAAAAACACGTTGGGGTTGGATTTTTTTTTTTTTTTTTTTTTTTTTTGCTTTCATGAACATGCCTGAAAAAAAATTACACCTGCTGATGTTGTTGTGGTTACCATATCCTTTGACACTTGCAACATTTTTCCTTGTTGATCTACATAACAAAAGGTCTAGAAATTTCTCTTCCACTTACAACTACACGTTTGGGTTTTTTGTTTGGGTTGTTGTTTTTTTGTTTTTGTTTTGTTTTGTTTGTTTTGTTGTTTTTTTTTAATGTAAGATACAAATTCAGAAGAAATATGATTTAGGCTGGAAAAGGAAAAAGAAGTAGGCATGTCTACACTCCAAAAGTACACTCCAAGAAATATTTCCAGTTGTCAAACCACCACTTACAGGTCTGTGCTCTCTGCAGTTGAAAAACTACTCTTCTCATTATGAACTCCAAGTATATAGAGGAAGCATTTATCTGTGATAGATCTCCACACAGTAGTTGTCAAAAATATACTGTTCTCAATCTTGCTGTTTAACTTTACTGAATTTAAACATAGGCACTTCAGAAACAAATGCCTTTAATCTGTCTTGGAATCCTGATTAAATGACAGATAGCATAGTTAATACACAGATTAACATATGATATTATAAGTGTACCTTTCATGACTATTGCTGTGTCAGAGAATATGACAATCCATTTTCTAAACTATTTTCACATTTTGCAGGTTATATTATTCTAGTAAATTGCTGTTTTTACATCATATTCTGTGTAATCTATGATTAAATTTAATATCCTAAGACTATTGTTGTCTAGTTTGTCTCTCTCCTGGATGTTCTTTTCTGTACCATGTAAAGGACAAAACAATTATTTTGAAAAATTGTGCCTCCTTGGATCTTACACTGACTTATTAATCTGTAATAATACTAATAAAAGTTAACACTAAAATAAATATAAGGCCTAGTAAAGATTTTATAACAGTTTAGTAATTCAGTTTACCCATGCTCTGCTTTTTATTAAGCTAGAGAAGTATTTTTTTAAAATGTGAAATATAATATGGAACAAGCTCTTTCTTCTTCCTTTTTTTTTTTTTTTTTTTTTCCTTTTTTTTCTTTTTTGGCCTGGCTGTTTTACTTTACACCATCTTTGTACCAGCACCTCTATGAACATCCAGGCCAGTATATACTGGTGTAGGAAGGAAATTGGGCTGTGTCTTAAAGTTATTAAATCTGTGTTGCTTCCATACACAGAAAGCTGTTTCAGAAGCAGGTTAGAAGATTAGCTGATTAGTTTTATATAACTTCTCAAATGCATCTCTTACTTAACAAGCAGTAGGAAATGCATTTTATTTGAAATGTATCTCAAGCAATGAGGCGCAGATCCTCCAAGATTATTTTGGCACTCAAATCCAACTGAAATTAATCCGTGACCTCAGGTGAACTCAGGCAACTGAATGCCATATCAGAAACAGCCTTAGGGCCCCAGACTCCCTCAGCCTTGACATGTTATGGAGTGCAGGATGGGGCCTTGCTGAAGAAAGGCACAAAAACTGAAGTGAGATTAATTTAGCTCATTCCCATGGCTTTACTCCTACTCCACACAGTGATTTAACTTCTCACCTGCTTGTTCACTCTATGCAATGTGAAATACAATTGTATATGTAAAGTGAAGGAATAGTGAAAAGATTATCTGCCTATCAGTACAATAAATGATTGATATTGTTCATCTTGTGCAGTTGAAATCCTGAATTTTGCCTTATTTTAACATTTTAACAGTGTAAATGTTAAAAAAAAAAAAAATTGTATGCAAAATATGATGTAACATGACTGTTTGCTGAAAGCACTACAGTGAAAGATAAGGTAAAGCGTTTTGACAAAAAGTCATCACAGAAACTGAGATATGCGTTCCTGAGCATGAGCAAAGTTGCTTGTTCTGAAGCCATGCTGCTCCTACCACTGTTTGCAATTTTCTCCCTCCATACAACAAAGCTACCTGCAGAGCGAATGTTTCTTCCAGTATGTTCTCGTGAATAAAAGACAATGATTTAACAACACCATTCTAAAAAAGATGTCTATTCTACCAACGAACAGCTAAGTTTATAGCAAATACAACTAAGTCTGCTGTAAGATCTCCATGTTTTCAAATCTCTTCAGTGCTCCGGGACAGAGCTCTCAGAACTGCCAGGGTTGAGGCTGAACAAGGATTAGGTCAACAAGAGAGGCGACACTGAGAAAGACTGCAAGCTTCTTTCTTCTGGCAAGCATTCAGTAAAACAGATTTTCTAATCATTTTACAGTAGAAGGCAGTAAAGGTTTCCTAATTCTCAAAGAAAACAAAAATCCAGCAACCATTTGGCCTTTTAAAAAACCTTTGACATTATAAATGCCGCATCTGCTAATGCAAACTTTAACAGTATCCAGACGTCCCTCAGGGTGTCTCACCTGATTGCAAGTCATCAACCACTGAAGCTTTGATATAACTCACTGCCCGTTATAGAGAAGAGCAAGAGAAGTTTCACTGATGATTTTGTCAAGAACAAACACAGACTTTGAAGCAAGCAATTTAGCTTTTCTTCTCTGCTGCACATTTCTATCCTGAAAAAAATCACGTTCGTAGCATCACTGCTGTGGTCTAATTGCCATAGATTGCAAATTAGGAAACCACACATCTTTGCAAAGAATACCCTAGCAAGCTTCAGAAGGTTCTCAGCAGCATATTCCACACTGTGGACATGTCAAATAGAGATCAGAGCCAGCAGCGCTTTTACACAAAATGATCCTCATCTCACAGAATACCAATACACTGCTGCTAGAACTCTGCATTCACTAGGATTGTTTATTCCATTAAGCAACATTAGCATTTTGTGATTAATTTCCATTTGTTATCTTGTGCATTCATATTAAGCCCACACTGCAATCGCTAAATGTAGTCACTGGTAGCTGAGGTGTAGCAAAATCCACAAATACTTGCAATGTCAACAAGAAGGTTCAGAATCCATACGTGGGCACCTAAATATATGTGGCCTGAATTTCTGTATTGTGGAGCATTCCCAAACCCCTCTGAAATTAACTGAAGCTCTTCTGCACCAATTAAAAGCAGGCAAAGCACTGAAATCCCAAAGATCATTTTATTTTAATGCACATTAAATTATCACAAGAAAGACTGGGATTTTTACTTGGGCTGGAGTGACATTCCAAATTTACTCGCTACAACACAAAATTGCTCCATGGATTAAGTTAAAAATTTGTGCTTCACTGACCTTATTATGTGAATGTTATCAGCATGCAAAAAAACAAAACAAAACAAAAAAAATCATATAATATTCTGAGTCAGAAGGGACCCACGAGAATTATGGAGTCCCATTCTTGGCTCCCTGCAGGACCACCCAAAATTCAGACCCGGTGTCTGAGAGCGCTGCCCAAACGCTCCCTGAACTCCGGTACTGGGGCCGTGCCCACTGCCCCGTGCAGCCCGTTCCGTGCTCAGCGCCCTCCGCTGCAGCCCCTGTCCCTGACCGCCACCCTCCCCTGCCCTGACGCAGCTCCATGCCGTTCCCTCGGGCCCTGTCGCTGTCACACGGAGCAGAGCTCAGCGCTGCCCCTCCGCTCCCTGTGAGGAGCTGCAGCCGCCGTCAGGCCCCCCCCTCAGCTCCTCTGCTCTGGGCTGCAGAAACTCAGGGACCTCAGCACTCCCCATCCATGTTGCCCTCTTCATATCTTTCCCTTAGATTCTCTCTGATAGCAGATCTGGACCTAAAACATGTAAAGATAAATAAGAAGCTCACGTCCCAGTGAACTTTGAAGTCAGTATGGACAGATAGGAACCTATGGTACTGGAAGGCTACTATAAGGTCTCCTTTGAGCCCTCTCTTCTCTAGACTGAAAAGTCCCAGCTCTCTCAGCCCACCCTCCTAGGGGAGGTGCTTCAGCCCTCTGATCATCCTCATGGCCCTCCTTTGGACCAGCTTCAACAACTCTATGTTCTTCTTGTGCTGGGGACTTCAGAACTGGATGCTGTACTCCAGATAGTGTCCCACAAGAGCAGAATCACCTCTCTCAAGCTGCTGGTTACGCTTCTCTTCACACAACTGAGGATACAGTTGGCTGCCTAGGCTGCAAGCACACATCACCAGCTCCTGTTGGGTCTTTCATCCACTGACATCCCCAAATCCTTCTCAGGGCTGCTTTCAAGCCATTCACTGCGCAGTCTGTATTTGTGCTTGCCCAGACCCTAGCAAAGAACACTGCACATGGAATGCAGATACTATCCATCTCCTATTATTATTACTGAGCTCTTTATGTCAAACTATGAGAAACGTGCAATATGCAACCATGGACTATGTTTGTGAGTAAGGCACCTCACGGGACTTATCTTATGCCTCTTTCAGGACAGTCTAATTCTCGCTGGTATTTAGGAAGAGATTCTTATGAGATGTTCAAACCCAGCTAGACACTGTCTGGGCTTGGTGGCTGCTGCAAGTCATTCCCTTGAGGCTCATATATCACATCTTGCTACCTTAGTAACAAACAATTAAACTGTATTTAGGTAAAACATACATTTGAACATAAACTCTTCAGAGTCCATAAAAAGTGTAACAACTCTTTTAAGGAAGGACACACATTTAAGACAACTGACTACTCTGCACTCCTGCAGAAATAGGTTAGAGATCAGAGTTACTTTCCTCCCCCCCCCCCCCACTTCACTAAATCCATACATTAGGAATAACATGCAATTCTAAAACATGTTATGTTGCACTCAAAACCTGCATCATCACCTTGTATTCATTTTGCCAACACAACTTTTCTGTACAACAGGTACAGTAACATACTTTGGAAGCAATGCCTGTGCCTGCAAGTAATGAAAGATCTCAAATATTATCAGATACCTAATAGTTACTTACAAGACAGGTTTTAATAGGTTTCCCTTCAGTGTTCTGACTTCATGAGGTATAACAAAAGAAAGCAAAACATCCTTAAAAGACATGTAGCTGTAACTTTGAATGTTCAGGAAAGAGTGGTTGAAAGGTTTGTTATGAATTATTGTTATATATTGTTATAATTTAATGCGAGCCCTAGAAGCAATGAAGGAAAGAAGGATTTTCTTATCTTCTGTAGCACAGGTTCACCATTCTCAGGATAAAGATGGCATGTGGAAATTGTCTTTATTATTACACAAATTCCACCTCACATAGTCCACCATTGCAGCAGAACACATAACTTGCTTCATCTTCATTTTAAGGCAACCAAATAACCTCAGAGTCAGATGTTGACATGCTAATGCAGCCTGAAGCATGGGTAAAGCAACAAGACAGTTGTCAGCACTTGAAAGGACGCATTTTTTAATTTCTTTTACATTCTGGATTCTTAAGTCACTCTATCAGTTTCAAAACACATACAGCTCTACATCCATATTTTTATGTGTGGATGGTGCAATTAAAGAGAATTTTTAAAAGGCTTGGCTTTCAGGCTGGAAAGGTCAGAGACTGTTAATTTCTTTGAAGAATTCAATCCATTATTTAAAGCAGAGCAGGAGAGTGATCACACTAGGCAACCCTCTAAATCTAGGAAGTGTACTTTAATCACTTGCTTATAACTAGTTTGAATCGTTTTGGTTGCAATGAACTGACTAGAGTCAGAACTAACGCAGATTCTCTGGCAGCTGTCAATTCAAACTGAGTGTAGGGACTCCCCTTGTCTCATACACATTAGTAGCAATTGTTTTTTAGTTTTTCAAGAACATTGAGTTAATCATGCTAAAGAAAGAGCTACTTAAGAAGGCATTACTATTTCTTAAACGTCATTTCTGAAGTTCAGCATAACAGACTAAAAATGTCATCAAAAAGCTGAGACCAAGATAGTCATGTATTTCAAAAAGTATGTAACCATAGGAGTTGCATTTCATGTCAACATATGTAGCATTGCTAATAACTTGAAGTTTTGTTACTCACAAATTTAGGTCTTATTACCAAAGTGCTAACATTAGGACTTAATGATTTAGGTTTTCTTCAGACTAACAATTATATTTAGGTAGAAGGGTAATTCCCTTAGATAGTGGATATATCTTTCCATAGATGTCCATTTACTTTGACGAAACATCAAGTCTTCCTTCAAGGGATCTCTCTCCCTTAGGGCTGTTAAAATTCAGTTTCAGAGGGTGTAATCTCAATTCTGTTTTCTACTAATTCCTCTGATATTGGCTGGATCCCTAATAATACCTACTAGCCAGAGGGCTTCTTTGCAATCTAAATCCACATTACTGGCCCCAGCGTCCCAACACCAGAGCATCCAGGTGACAATGTTCTCATTTGGATGTTGTGCAGTCTTTCACATCTTGAATCTCATCCATTTTTATAGCTCAGATAGTGATGACGGTCTCCTCATCTTAAAGGACTCCACATACCAGCTTTCCACCTTCAATACTTTCCCACTATATGGCAAAACTCATCCGAGAATAAGTCATACCTCTTTTTCAATCTCTGGTAATTCGTTGTATGGTGGGGGCCTCTTCCACACCTCACCTCTTCCCCTGATGGTATTTCAAAGTTCTTTACTTTCAGGCCAGTCCATGATCACTTCCAAGATTCCTGAATGATCAGTGTTCCCCATCCAAGCCCACTATGTAATCAATGCAATCCACATACTCCAAGTACCACAGTGCAAGGAGAGGACCTTCCCTTTAAACATCCAATTTAGCACCAGTAGTCAAGGCTCTAAAATAAGTTGTGCTTCAGTACCAATCGTATCTGAAGCAGCCCCAACACCCATGTACGCTGCAAATACCTCTTTTTCAGTTGCACTGTAGCACCCTTTGGATCCTCTACATCCTCGACTCCAAAACTCATGAAGTCAACCAAGTCTCCTCTGAAGTTTTTTGCAAAAGACTCTAAAAGCGAGGCCCTTCTCCCAGGCTGCAGTGTTGAACATTTTTTTGTTTGTTTGTTTTGTTGTTTTTTGTTTTTTTTTTTTTAATTAAAGTAAAATAAAATTTTAGAAAACTGTTGTTTGCTATTTATAAGGTTAGACTGCAGACGGAAAAAGACAAGTTATATTCCAAATATGAAGACTTGGAAATATTTTACTGCAATCAACGTACAAAGATTTTGAAGTCCACTTTCTCATTTGGTTATTTCTAAGTATTTATGAATTAGTAGTGGTTTATTTCCAGAAGTCAACGTCACACAGTTAGGCACTTTAAGAGCCTTTTGTTTTCCTGATCATTGCTTCCATCATATCCCACTGCTCCTTGGTAACCTAAAAAAAAGAAAACAGCATTTTATTGGGATTTCATATAATAATTACACATCCAAATACTTGAACAGAAAATAGCAGGCAAGAAGTTCAGTACCTTTTTCAAATCATTGAATTCTCCTGCCATAGAAACATATTCTCCGCCATCCATTCTAATAACCTAGAGAAAGCATAAGAGGTGTATTTAGCAACAGCATTTTTTCTGTTGCATTCCCTTGTTCTAAACATTTGTAATGATTGAAATCAAGCAAATTCCAAACACACTCAAAATGGTGCAATTCAATCTTTTTTTTTTTTCCTCCAAGTTTTTGAAGGTGCTTAGAAAGGTTAATAATTAGAAGATTAATCACGATTTCAAATTTCAAAGTAATTTACTTCTTTCATTTCTGAAATACTGTAATGTAACAGACACTTGAAAAAAAATTCAGAAAAACTCAGACCATCATCAGGTTGGCTGTAGAAATGGAATCAACTGTAACTTACTGCTCCATTAACCCAGCTTGCATAGTCACTGCAGAAATAGGCAGCGAGGTTTGCAATTTCTTCAACAGTTCCCAGGCGGCCACAGGGAATCCTCTCAATCATTTTCTTCTCAAACATGCCAGTTGGGTCAAGGCGGCTAAAAGCACCCTGAGAATTAAGAGAAACAGATGAAGAGTTTTAACTCCATCAGACATCAAAACCATAGAGAGATTTAAGCTTAACATGGAAGTTAATGTTTGTGAGCAAACAGCCTACGTCATCTTTGTCAGCAGGATTTTAAAAAAAGTACAAAAGAAAAAATAATTTACTTCTATTGCACCAGTATGCATCTACACTGGGTGGCCAGCTAGAATTTAACACCTGTTTGGGAGAGGCACACAAACAAAAGTGGTTACTTTCCCAAAACGCCTTTAGTATAATAATATGCTATTCGTAAAAGGGAGAGAAAGAGTAGCAAAGTTACAGAAAGAAAATAATATGCAACATAAAGGACAACTGAAGAGCAAAAAGGAAAAAACACCCAAATTGTTGCATTGGCTAACGAATTAAACTAAGTTGCTCTATGCTTCTAATATCTGAATAGCTTAGAACAGCATGGGAAATGGAAGTTTTCTGAGTCTTCCCAGCTCCTAGACAAAGAAACAATTCCTCAAGCAGCATCAGGAACATTTATCTTAGGTTACTGCAGTTGTTAAAGTGTACTCTAATTCAACTAACTACAGCTCCACTCAGGTCATTTAAGCCCTCAATGGCCATGTTTTTAAATGGCAGTTTATAAACTTAGTAGTATTGCTCTCGTATGCTTCTTCCCTTTCCCTCTGATTTCCAGCAGCGTTTTCTAAAGACACAGAAGTAACCCGTAAAGCAGAAAGTCTTGATTTTGCAATATGATTTTTAAGTAAAGCCAGTTCATAGTTTTAGCTTCCAGAGAAATTTTAACTTGGAACTAGTATGATAAATGCAATGCTTTATAGAGAAAACAGAGCTTATCGAGGGGAAATATGCTATTAAATCAGAAGCATTAACGGGAAGTAGCAATCTGGACGTTTAAAGTATTTAACTTGCCAAAAATTCTAAGAATCTATAAAACAAACTCATCTTGCTATATGATATAGCAGATGCTGAAAATTTATACAGATTCAAAAAGGAATAGGACAGAGGAATAGGATTAAAAAAAAAAACAAAAATCCATCAAGATAACTACATTATGAAGAGTTGTATATATCAAACTCTTCGTGCCACAGACTACCACAGGCTGGAAACAAAAGAATAGTTATTACATGCTTTTATTATACCTTTGGCCACAAGTCTACCGGGTACAAGGCCTGGAGAGCTTTCAGTCTGATCCTGTAATGTCATTTTAACAACATTGCTGATACTGTCACTTATCTATCCTTGCAGTCAAGAAAGCTAAAGATGAGCTATCTGGAATAGCATGGAAAACTGACAAAACAGAAATGTAGCAATGCACATTTTTGCACACGCGCCCCCAAAACAACAGTAAAAAAAAAGAAAATAATCAAGAAGTACTATACAGATAGTTGAAATATGATTATTAGCTGTTACTGCTCATAACTGTAATATTTGGACTCTGAAGGGGATTCATCTCTCTCTTCTTGCAGCACTCATCCCTTCTTCTTCTTCCTGCTCCAGATGGTCTAGATTAATTCCTTTAAACCCTCCAGTCCTCCTTTTCACTCATATCAAAGCTTCACATGTCCTTGATACCTTATGTTTTCCTCTTTCTAGTTATGTGGTTTTCAACAAAACTAGTGAGTTTCTGTTCTCAAAGACCTAAAAAAAGACTCTGAAATTTTGGAATTGAGATACTTTGTTTAAAGAATCAGGAGTTCAAATAGAAATAGGCACTTGTACTCCATCAAGAACTCGCTTCACTTGAGAAATAATGTATAGTCTCAAATGCATACAGAAGAAAATAAATTAAAATATTTTGGCATGTACTTCTTTGAAGCATTCAAAAAAAAAAAAGTTTGTGTTATATTAGTATAGTAACATTCTATTTTATAAACTAATTATTGAACAAGTTATTTACCATTATTCCAGCACAACCTTGGACTTCCAAAGAACTTATACTCCAATTTGGTGGTTATAGAAAAGATTAGACTACCTTAAGTGCAAGCCTGTACTACAAAGCATATTGAAGGCTGTGTTTCACTTCATGCTATGTACCTTTGTTTTTATTGGACCTGGTTGAATCACATTGAATCTCATGCCATATTTACCCCACTCGGCTGCAAGAGACCTAAAAATGCATTAAAAAATGCATCAATATTTTAAACACGTTATTTTAATAATGCTATTAATAAATAAACAACCAAATCTTATGTGCGAATACTAAAATTTGAGTCCTCAAACAGGCATTTCCACTTAAGGGGTTCTGATGTTTTTCTTAAGAACAACAACATTTCAGAAGTAACAAAACAAAACCACAACCAGAAACACAAGAACACTGATTTAGGAGATGCAGTTCAACTTTCTTGTATTGCCTCTAACACTTCTGGGTTCTATGAGAGTTTTTCCAACTCACAAACCCGCAGGAAAAAAATACATCTTTAGTCATAGTGTTGTTTTAAAGCAAATTTACACGCTTAACAGGCTCACTATACTGGCTAAGTACCACAGTCCATGCAAGTTAATGGGCAAAAGTAGGCAGTCATAAAGAACAGCTCTGCCAAACACAAAAAAGTTACATAACAGCCAACTCTAAGAGAGACAAATTGAGCAACCACTGGAGAGGAGTGGGCAAAGAAGTGGGAAATATATGCAGGTGATGAGGGAAAAAAAAAAAAAAATGCACCCCAGTGGGAATGCTGCTCCTATAGCAGCAATTGACATAAGACGTTATAAAACTATAACTTATTCCCAAATGCATCAGATGCTTTCCAGAGCCATTGCAAATAGAACTACTTCAACCAAAGAAACACTGACTCCATTGTTATTCTCTTCTTCTAACCACTGAAAATGGCTTTTGGCTGATTTTGTTCCATTCAAAAGTAATAGAGGGGAAAAAAGAAAAAAACGCTCACCATGAAAACTCCTAATGATAACATTTGCTTCTACAAAATACATGCACTCACATTTTCACTTTTTTGCCATGATAAAAATTATCACAATAATAGCAGTTACCACTTCATTCTGAAAGAAGCTGTCAGTATATCATTTTGTTGCAAGGATAATAGAGGCTGGAAGGTTCTCTTATCACACTGCATGGGAGGACTACATTAATTGTAACAACTAGCTCTGTTTTTATATTATCCTATCGCATGGATGTGTAAAGCAACTTTTTGTCTATTACTCACTTGCTCAGTGCTTCTACACCAGCTTTGGCAGAGGCACTTGGCAACACAAATCCTGAACCACTCTCTGCATAAATGGTTGTAATAGAAAGGAATGCGGCTCCTGGAAGTTGCAACAATATTAATAAACAAAAAACAACACACACAAAGATCAAACTTAGATAATAAGTTAAAAAGCAAGCTCAGTGGTACAGAAGTTTGCAGTTTCAGTGTAAGGGATGCCATCTGCTGAGTTGAAAAAAGACTTTCAGAAGAACTAGTCTTTCTCCCCCTTCAGTTTCCCCTATTCTGAATGTTAGTTGTTCCACAGACATGAAAACGGGCCTATTTTAGGCTATTAAAGCCTAACTTCAGACTTCTACTGATAATGGGCTCAGGCTAAACAGAGCTGTATTGAATGAACCTAACACAGAAGCAAGGATAATAAAATTACAGCCCATAAGTTTGAAGTACACTTCAATTCACACATATATTTTATTTCCAAAGTTTACACTCATAAAAAGGAAAACACCTAAGCAATTTACTCTTCTCACTTTGTGAGTGAGAATGCATAAATAATACACTAGCAGATTACAAACCTCTTTTACATGTCACTGCAAACTTACAGTCCAAAAACAGTGCTCTTCTATTATTTATTAAAGAACATTTAATACAGGTCACCCTGCAGTCCTACAGTATGTGCTTTGTAACTACCAGATGTATAGCATTCTGATAGAGAGTCTTAAAATGTTTGCATTGGGTAGAATTTCTATCACTTCAGAAATTAAGGTCTCTGCTCAAATTAAAAAAAATAAAAAAGCAAACAAGAAACAAGAAAATGAAAGCAGATAATGAAAGGACAAACAGATACATTTTTGCAAGTAAATCAAGCGTGTATCTAAAAACAAACAAACAAAAGTCTTTGCATAAAAGATGCTTACATACAAAATCCCCTAGAAAGAAGGCATGCAAGAAACAGCAAGAGAAATTTCTGTGTTTTGTAAGCTTAGTAGAGAAGTAAAGAGAGACAGCATGAAAGTGAATGAACTTCTATAGCTTGCAGAATTTGAAGGCAGAAGTAGCAAAAGTAGTTTTAATTCAAGAGCAAAAGCGACACATTTTTAAAGCTATATTTTACATTACTATAAGGATATGCTGTAAGCATCCATTAGGCCACAGAACAAACTGTGAACATATTTGCTAGAATGATGCAATGAAGCAGAGCTGGGGATGGAACATTAAGTAAGAATGAAATACCTCATCAAATGACCAAAACTATTACAGACTTGCAGAAATACACATACAACATTAAGTTTATATTGTTACTATCAATACAGTACAAACTTTATAGGAAGTACAAAGCACTGAGTACATTTTGAGAGTTTACTCTGGAGTCAGAAGAATACAGTGCAAATACTAAAGGTTTAATTCAGCACAGTGGATGTACCTAGAGAACATCATTTGTAGGGCCATGTGAAAAATCATAACCTGCCTTACCACTTGAAATACTATTTGATGGTACCATATTAGATGATCTTTAAGGTCCCTTTCAACCCAAGCCATTCTATGATTATATGACACCAATTAAAAAAAAAAAAAAAAGCCTCAAAGGTAGTATTCTCTAGCACCATTAGCCCAATACTACAGTTGTGAATTTTAATTACTTATACATGTACAAGTCTAGGAGGAAAATGTTAAGTTATATTCTTTCTTGTTGTTCATTTAAATAAATAAATGTCACATGCTGAGCTTCTTAACGAAACCAACACAGATACAGAAGACCTGGGAGAAATAACATATGCTTTAAGCAAAGTTTCTTCAGTCTTACAAATGTTTTGCAATTACTGTAAATTCTGCAAACAGATTTTCAAACAACCTCTATATTCTGGGTCCAACCTTAAGAGCAGACTCAGTGGTAAAATAATTGCTAACCAGTCCTGCTGTTTGATTTTTAAGCGTTGCTTCTTTCATACTCACAAAACTGGCTATTACACATAAGCACTGTAAGGGAAGGAAAGCAAGTAACAGTATGCTACAAGGCTTAGGTACTACTTAATGTAAATTGAAGATACCTTTTTGTGCTTTAATGAGTTCCTTTCCAATTTCCAAAGTTACGAAGGCGGTACCGTTAAGTACAATATCAGTTATAGTTTTCCATGCATTAGCAGAAAGTCGTTCAGAAGGGGAAATAAAGTTCCCTGCTGCGTTGTTTATCACAACCTGAAACACAAGCAGTTAATTAAAAATAACCCTTCCTTAGAGAAGGTCTCTCTAGATTAGATACATTTTCCATTACAGTGATTTCCTTCGTACTTACTCAGAGCATTTTCAAAGACAGAAGTTGTTCACTTTGTCTACAACACTTACATTAGGATGCCCTGCCACTTGAATTAATTCAGCAACAGCATTCTTAACAGAAGCTGGATCTCTCACATCACACTGGATGGCATGGACCTGTATAACAATAGAAGGGCAGCCTTAAGACTTCAAATGCTTATCCCACAAATTAAACAATCCCCCAGAACCATATAAATGCATTAAAAAAAAAAAACAAAAAACTATACCCATTTAATGTGTAATTATTAAATAATAGTAGTTATTAAAATAAAATTCCCAGTCCTATAAAATTTACCTTATTCCCTGTTTTAGAAGAAATTTCTTCCGCCGTTCCTTTCAAAACATCAAGCTTTCTAGAAATAATCATATATCAGTGAATTTCAATTAAATGCAATTACAATTCAGAAAAATAAAAAGCTGATTAATCCTTTCTTAGCAGACATCAGCTAAGTTTTAAAAAGTGATGCGTATGTTTGTGCATAGTGAAAGTTTTCATGAAAACAGCTTAAAAATGAAAATATTTAGTTACTAATTTTCTGATAGTTAATCAAAAATCTAATACCTTCTGTTCATTACTACTTAAAAGTAACTAAGAAACGACAAAGGAAGAAGAACAATCTTAGCTAACTTACTACATTTGATTAGTTTAAGTACTTTCCTATTCAGTACATCATGATAATAAACCCAGCTTTATCTACTGCTCTGCTAATACTTTGCAAGGGCCAGGTTTCAAGTATCTAAATTGCTACTTGGAAGAATGTCAGAACACTAATTTTGTTTCCAAAATGAAACTGCTTTTCTTGTTTTTATTATATCTTTAACAGAACTGTATAAATATTATCTTTGTTAAGAGGAATTATTTTAATTCTTTATTGCTATTAAAATCTGTATTACAAACACCCATATTAATACAGAAATGACCAATAACATGCATTTCAATTTTGTGCTCTCTTTTATGCTTTAGTGGGATTTATGTCTAATATTCTGGCTTGTTTATTTTTCTGCCCCAACACACAAGATTTTTCAAAGTCTTCTCATCAGGTCTTCAGTATTTCCCATGCTACACTCTAATTTAAAAGTGAACAGTGTAAATAAATTAACCAGAGTAAATAAATTAACAGAGTTTATCCAGCTTGCCAAGAAAAGAAACCAGATCCATTCAGCACTCAACACTAAAAGCTCTAAAACGTGTTCATTAATATTTACCGGCTTGCTATGACACACACAGCACCCAAACTGGATAAAGCTGTTGTCATGCCTTTGCCAATCCCAGTACCTCCACCAGTTATAAATGCCACCTTCCCTTGAAAGGAATTTGGTGGCAACATCACTTTTTGAAGAGGTGAAAAGAATGCAGCTTGTGGAGCTTTGCTCTCTTGCAGCAGCACATTTGGTCCATGGCTGAAGAACTGAAAGAAAGAAAAAAGAAGAAAAAAAAAAATCCATTTCCATTTACAGGACCCCTAATAAAGATTAGATTTGCTCGTGAAAGTAACAATTTTATAGCTATCTTCCTGTTACACAAACTGAATACAAAAATGATTAGCTTGCATTTATGTTGAAGTTACTAAAAGCGCACCATAGCATAAAACAAATCCTAAACTGATAAAGTAAGTAATCCTCAAATACTAGAGTACATCCTCAAACTGAATGACATGACATGGCACAGCAGCATTACGTAAACAGTTAAGAAATTCACAAATTACTTGGAATGTGAAAGTTATCTCAATCTGGAACTGAAAACATTTCTAAATACAGCAAAGTTCGGTTATTTGTTTAAGTGAGAAAAATTAGAAGAACTTAAGCTATATTTATCTTTTCCAATACTAATTTGTAATTGAATCTTTAATGCGTCCTTTTGACTACACAAGCTTGTAGTATAATTTTAGGAAAACTTCGTGTTTACTTTTATACATCACTGCTCATAAAAACATAACATTGTTATGCCAACGGGAAATGCGTTGAAGGAGAAAAGGCTACTTTAAAACAGTACAAATAGAACAATAAATAGCTTGTGGCTTGTACAAACTCCCCTTTGCAACACTGAAATTAACAGGTGACGCTCTCAGCAACAGCCGAATAGTCTATTAGCTGGAGTCGAGGTGCCACTGGGACTCTCTTTCCATCAGGTCAATGGATAAACTCTCCAAAGGGGTTTGGTAGCGATGGACACAGCCCCCTCCTTTGCTCACCACCACAGAGATTTCGCAAGCAGCTCCTGCTGAAGGAGGCAGATAGAAAGCAGGCCAGAGAGCACGGGGTATTGCACCAAAGTTAATAAACGACTCAAAGCATCGAGCCCACGTGTTAAAGCAGTCTGCTGGGGGACTCGTCACTACTTTGCACAAAGGGCTTCCTTGAGAAGATTTGTTCCAAGTTATCATTCCAGCACTTAATGCCAGGATTCTAAATTAAACTACAGGCATAAAGAAAGGCATAAAGAAACCAGGCAACGTGAACAGGAGAAAAAACAAACTCCCCCGTACCCACGTGGTGGAAGCAAATCACTAAGTTACCACAAAAGGCTCCCTCGGAGGAAGTCTTTCCTAAGAAGGCACGCCCCCACGAAGCGGCGGTGGCACCGCTCCGACCTTTCACCCAGATGGCATGGTGCGCTCCTGCAGCAGATACCGGCGAGCCCGAAGGAGAGCGGGGAGAAACAGGCAGGAGGCGCGTCCCAGGGAGCACGGGGCGCTGAGAGGGTATGGGGGTACCACAGCCCTGAGAATTTCTCGGCCCACCCTCAGCTCTATGAGAGCGGGCGGCGGCTTACCCGTCTCGTGCCGGAGAAGCGGATCGAGCCATTGCCGCGGAGAGCGGTCCGGCCGATCATTGCCGCCGCCATCTTGTGCTCCGGAGGTGGGGGTGTGCGGTGGGGCGGTGCGGAGCGGCCGTCTCCCGGCTCCTCTCAGCGCTGCCCGGCCGCGGGAGGGGCGCTTCTGCCTCTGCAGCTGGAGCGGGCGGGGCGGCGAGTACGGGTGTGCAGCGCCCCTCCGGCCTGGGCTTCTGCCGTCACCTCGAAATACGTGCTGTTAGAAAGATACTGACGCTTTGGTTTTAGCTTTGGGTGCTACTTCGGAGTATAGGAAGGATTTAAGAATACTTACATTCAAGCACCCAGTCTCTGGTTGAGAACAAGTTGGGAGGTTTACAGGGCAGAAAATACCCATTTTTTTTATTTTTAATTTTGTGGGGTAACCTGAGCAATTGTAAGAATGTAAATGTAACATCTGTAGGTGAAAAACAAGTCATTAAAAGCAGTAACAGTTAAAGCATTGTCTGAAAGCATCTAACCAACACTAGTCTTCTGCAGGGATAATTGCCTCAATAACGTGTTGCAGAAATGCCATGAGAAAATCAGTATCTAAGTGTTGGCAATGATTCAGGTTTTCAAGGTCCTGGCCAGGTGTGACAATGGTTGTAAACTTGGATTCCTATAGTTTCTGCTGTTCAAAGTACCCCAGTGAAAGAAACAGCCCCTCATGATAAAGTTTAGAAATAGTCCAAGAAGCTGTTGATACAAAAGGGTACTAAGAAAAAAATCCCCAGGCGAGTGTGAGTATCAAGGAGAAAGCAAGTGCAGTGAAGACATGGTGATGGTGAAGGTCTGTGTTTCTGTTCAGGGTAAAAGATGAATGCTGGATCACCTCAAAGTTCTATTTAGATACTGTTTCACTCGGTTTGATGGACTTTGGTGCTAATTCACAAATTAATATATTGAGTTAAGCTGGTTGCCTATATGGGTATCTGAAAGGCCTCTTTCTGTGCTGGTCGTCACTGAGGAAATTAAGTTTTGAACCCTGAGGAAAATAAAGGAATATGTGGAGAACCAAAAATTTAAAGAACAAGCATTCCTTTGATCAATCAGGATTGGAGAGCAGTGAGAAAGTCAAGAAGTCTAGAAAGTATATGGGAATCAATAGGAAAATGATAGCAGAAGATAAAATTGGATAAATGCAGGGAAATTGAGGGTACAAATATTATAATATGGTTTACAGGATTCATACAGTTTCTTATGATGATCATTTGTCATATGAGATTGTTATCACAAAAGCCAAGCCAAAAGGATAAATAAGCCAGAAAAATGATAATGAACTGTACAGAGAATATTGAAGTACCATTATACAAAGCTGAAATATTACCTCATCTATGATACACCATAGATTTTTGGTCGCCCTAGTGCAAAATGGAAGTTGCAAAATTATGAGGAACTGAAAAAATGAGTAAGGGCAATGAAGAAAACGTGTTCCAAAAAGTATTAAGGAACTGGGGTCATTTATTTCAGAGGAAATGCAGGAGAGAAAATATTAAAAGGGAACATTTAAGGACAAAGAATGCTTGAAGTCATCATGTATGGAGGTTAGGGCCGCAAAGATGATCAGAGGACTGAAGCACCTCCCCTGTGAGGACAGGCTGAGAGAGCTGGGGCTCTGGGGGACCTTATAGCAGCCTTCCAGTACCTGAAGGGGATCTGCCAGAAGGCTCGAGGATATTTTATATGGGCAGGCAGCAACAGGACAAGGGGAAGTGGCTTTAAACTGGAAAAGAGTAGATTTAGGCTACATGTTAGGAAGAAATTCTTTACTGTGAGGGTGGTGAGACACTGGAACAGGTTGCCCAGTGAGGCTGTGGATGTGCCCCTTTCCTGGAAGCATTCAAGGCCCGGCTGGATGGAGCAGTGAGCAACCTGGTGTAGAGGGAGGTGACCCTGCCTATAGCAGGGGGTTGGAACTACGTGATCTTAAAGGTCCCTTCCGACCCAAACCATTCTATGATTCTATCACACAAATTAAGATTCCACCAAAATAACATTCCTGATTCACATCTCCGATAGAAAGGCTCAGCCCCAGGCCCAGCAGCGCACCCCTCACTGGCACGGGCCGAGCCCTCCTCGTGTCGCCGCGCATGCCTGCTGGTGCCGGCTGTAGTGGCAGCATCGGCTGTGCCGCCCGCCCGCCCGCCGCCATGCGGCGCTCCCTGCTCTCGCTGCACGGCCGGGCGCGATAGCCGGGTGGACGGCAAAGAAACACTGGCTCTCGGTTACCGGCCCGGCCGCCGGCAGGGCGGAGAGCACCGGGAACCGCAGCTCCGCGGGGAACCGCAGCTCGTCACCGCGGAGCTCCCGCCGGTCTCAGGATGTGGAAGCTGGTGCCCGCCGCAGGACCAGGTGAGGGCACTGCGGGTCTGGGGCCCTTCCGCGCCTCTCCCGCGCCTGGGCTCGGGCCGGCCTTTACCACCTCCTGCTTGGGAAGCTGCTCGCCTAGAGGCTCGACTTTCGCTTTCCATTCTAGAAACCGGTAGGGCTCCCTTTTTCACTGAAACCCTGATCGCGGAGGCCATGTCCTGTTACCGTTGCTGGCGATAGTGCAGACGTGCCGTTACCTTTGCTGGTGATGCGTCCCAGCGTTGCTGCAGCCAGTGGGGTCAGCGAGGTGCTTCCTCGCTGAGCCCAGAGGCAGAGGTCTCTCAGTCTCTTCTTCCAGGGACGATGGCTGACTTTGTACAGACTTTTATTTTTTACTTGATGTTTCAGGGACTCAGTGTTGAACTTGAAACTTTGTGGTTTTTTTTGAATGCAGTTTTCAGACAGTCATCACTGCACTGTTGTTCCTCAGTTTCTTTATCCATAGCTTTATCCATAGTTTTGATTTATTGACCAACTTTGAAGACTATTGTTTCATAATGCAAAAGCAGCTTTTTCACTTGAATGCTTTCTCTTTCTTATAAAAGGCAGTCACAACACCGCTGTATCTCTTTTTTCTTGCTTACTTCATTGGGAGTGACTTAAGGATGCTTGGGGTGCATCTTAGTGAGAGCATTATCTATTTGTACTGAAATGAACAGAGTTTGATCTCTTACTGTGTAGAAACCACATTGGTATCGTCATTGTAGTCAGGATGATGAGTTCTGCATTGTTCTTATTTGGACAGTTATCTGTATTAGAATATCGTCTCTAATTCATTCATTTTTATCAAGAAAAGCTTCTGAATCACTGCTTATAGGTGACCCATGCCTTTTGGATGTCTTCGAGCCATGCACTCTTAAATGATCTAGATGACAAAAGCTGCATCATAAGTCAGAGACCAAACTTCCTAAGTATCTATCTGATTTACAATGCAGGTCTTTCAGCACCCTTTAGGGAGGCATTTTTGTCTGAAACACTTAAATTAGTCCCTAAGTTATATACTGCTAGTAAGTTATGTACTTGTAAAATTTGTGTTTTTGTACTTCTGTGAAGAAATAATGCGAGATAAAAGAAATAAGGTATTATGTAAGGTAATATGTAATACCATTGGTTTTGCTACTACTTCTTTTTTTGTTTGTTTTAATTATGAAATCCTATCCTTTCATATCAGACAGAGGAAGAAACAGGTTTAGTCTAAAAATTAAATGCATGATTGTGATCAGGCTAATAAATGATACATGACAAGGTATAGACAAGGATTGGATACTTTACAAACTTCTGAATTGATCCTAAGAACTTTGAATGTTTTGGAGTTTCTTGTAAATTGATATTTTTCTATCTCTTGTTTATTTTTAGGAGAGCCATTTCGACTTTTAGTTGGTACTGAATATGTTGTTGGACGCAAAAATTGTGCTATTTTAATTCAGGATGATCAGTCAATCAGTCGAAGTCATGCAGTTCTGACAGTAAGTCAGCCTGAAACAACCCATGTAAGTAACCAGCATTTTACTGCATTAAAAATACACAGCATTGTTAACTCAGAATACCATGACAGTACAGCTGGAGTAGAACCATTGAACATCTGCCTTTTCTTAGTCTTGATATTTTTTTTTTTTAATTCCCCTGGGTTGCTTGTCTGTACTGATAAATCCATACTGATAAATCCGTTGACATAGTTCTAATGATCCAAGGTCCTATTTGGGCATTTTTCTCAGAGTGAAAATTGATTAGAAATTTGTATTAAAGTAACCACAGCGGGAACATCATGCAATTACATTTCAGTTTGTAGAAGAACTTTAGAACTTGGTTCTGGAAAGTGCTTCCATTTTATTATTGTGGACTTGATTCTGTTATGCGTGTTTCACTCCACATCATTAATTCTGTATTTGTTTAGGGGAATGTGGAAAAGAAAAATGTTCCAAAGAGAATCAGCAGGCAGCACTTCAGTATTGATTACATATTGCAATTTCTCTGGATATTTTGAAGCCAATCAACCAGAATCTCTTTTATGTAACCTGTTTCTGATGAACTACCAAGGCTTATTTATGTTTATTTTCAGAGCCAGTCTGTTTCAGTCCCTGTGTTAACAATCAAAGACACCTCCAAGTATGGTACTTCTGTTAATGGGTCAAAATTGAGTGGCACTTCAAGGACTTTGCAGTCTGGTGACAGAGTAAATTTTGGAGTCTTTGAGAGCAAGTTTAGGTAAGAGGTACTCAGGCTGACAATAAACTACTAAGTGGAAAATAACAGCTTTCAAAAAGAGTGTTTTAGCACATCATACAATATGATGAGTGATAGAACACTAAGGGAATTTACCTCTTGAGTTTTTAGAAAGCAGAGGGAACAAATAATACTTTCCTGTGTTCTGCATCCTGCTTCTGAAACCCTCTTTTAGTACATATTTTTTTAATAATTCATTTTGAAATTATTTTAATTTATTAAGTAGTTTATTTATTATGTAGTTTATTTGTCGTTGGTGTTTTAAAAGATGTGTCACATCATGACTTCCATGATTGATATGATTATAAAAATATTTTCTCCTTTGTAGCCTACGCCAAATCAAATCACAGAGTTTGATGTTCTGTAATTGTAAATGGATGATCTACAAATAACAACAGGTGTATGTTCAAGTGTAAGAGCAGTCTCAGAAAAAAGTTTCTTGAACTTGCATTCTACAAAACTCATGTCTTTCACATGCT